ACATTAGACATAAACCAGTTTAAGTGGTCAGAAACTGGTTTAAACCTGTAACAGAACAGATGTTCAGTGCACATAAACCAGTTTGAGAATGGCTGAAATTGATCTGAGATAAACCTGGTTGAATGTAGTATCAGACTTAACTGATTTGGCTCAAACCAGTTTATGCAATGTCTGTCCCAGACCCCTTGCTGGTTTAAATTAAATCAGACTCCCTCAGCATCCCAGTATGCTCTCAGGGCTGGGTAGGGCTCTCTGCTCCACACCAGGACTGGCCCTCCCCTCTGCTCCCTGGCAGCAGCTCCAGCAGTCTCTGCAGGCATCTGCCTGGCTTCTGCTCCCCCTCCCCTCCCCACTCTCTGCTAAGCAGGCATTCCCCTTCCCCCACTACCCCCCTGTCCCTCACAGACATCGCTCAGCATTAACAAGCAGACCACATGGTGGCTACCTCTGAGCTGTGGCACATGGGACAAAGGCAAAATCAACAGATATCTGGTAACATCCCTCTGTGTTCTTAATGGGGTGATAAACACTGAGTTAGGGGTGATAAACATTCCTGGCTGGGCTGTTCAGGAGAGGGGGAACCCCTCCCTAATCAGAGCATCCTGCCTGGGCCAGGCCCAGGCCTCCTCAGCCCAGCTCTGTGAAAGAAAGGGAGGGCTGCTCTAGCACCCCCTGGCTTCTAGCCTGAGCTGCTGCAGGCATGTGCCTGCATTTCTGAGATGCCTGGCAACTTACAAACTGATTTAGCCTAGCCAGGTTAGATTTCAGTACACTATAAAGGAAAAACCTTTTCCCCTCCTCCAACAATTAACTGAGGATGGGAATAGAATGCAAGTGATACAGAAAGATGAGGAAAGGGAGACAATAAAAATATCTAGCAGCTTTATTGGGTAGCTTCCCTACCCACCCCTTGAAAGGGGAACCCTATTCCAAAGGGTCTGGTTTGCAGATGCACCGATATCACTGACATCCCCCAGCTACCAGCATTGGCGTCTCTCCCATTTGCTTCATTCACTCATCTTAATCAAACCACTGCTCCCAAGTCATTTATTTTTTCTGTTTAGCAGTAACACATTGATTTGCCAGTGCTAGAATGCAGCCTGTCTGATGAGGCTCCTGCAGCACTTCTAACAATTCATTCACTAAAACAGCCATTCATCTCTGTGCCTTGCTGTGTTTCTTTATGTATCATGCTGCATGACCATGCTTCTTAACCTTCCCTCCCCACCCCACCATTTCCTTGTTGCTTCTTGCAGTGTTGTTTCACGAGTGTCTTTTTCTGCCTCCTTCCTCCATGCAATCTCTGCATCTCTCTAGTTTTTTTCTATCTGCTTTCTCTTTTATTTAATCTGCTCTCTATCCAGGTATTGGTCCTACTGATGACTCCTGCTGGGAAAAGCTATGATTATAATTATTGAGAATACATTCCTGGGTGACATTATTAGTCTGTCTCTTACACTGATGAGTGTCTAAGGGCTCAATGGCCTGATTTTCAAAGTTGACTGATGTCATGGAGCGTTCTAGGATCTCAGCACCACTGAAAACGATGCCCTTGTTTGGCATTAAAATACACAATTTGAAGGCTTATCTATTTCAGGATTGCAGTTTTGTATTGAAAATCTTTTGAGATGAAGCTTGTTCATGATATTCAGTATTTTCTTTGATCCAGCTGATCAGAAAATACCATTAAAAGACTTCCTGAGGTATTTCAGCATTACTGCTTTGAATTGAAACAGGAAATGCAGAGGCAAGTGCAAATGAAATTTGATTTAAAAAAGGAAAATGCTCAACAAAAAAAAATCACTTTCACGTTTTAAATGCAAACTCAGTGACTCTTATAGCCAAAGTGCTTTGCTTGTTTCCAGTTCTCAGCAGTCCACCTTCTTGGAGTCAGTTGCCTCTATAGAAAAGTTATTCTGCAGTATGCATTATGCATCTCATACTGGGAGAAACCAGAAATGGAGTTACCAAGTGGTCCCCAGAACCACTGCTCCTAAAACATCCTCCATTAGGGGTGCTGGGAGATTCTAGGACAAGGGAAGATGATCTTAACTGTTAGACCTTGACTCCATACAATGCCCAATGACTAGGGAGACAATGGATCAATGCCATCACGCATCACCTGCACACACTGCTCATCAACAGCTTTATTCAAAATGGAGACAGCTTTGGACTAGCTCCAACAAACAGGGGAGCTACAGTGAACATTATTTTTTTTCCATATTTATACACCTTGGTTTATGCTCATTAACTTTTACCCCACCTTTGTCCCTCCTTTGTTCCACCCTTAGTCATTCACATTCTAAGCTCTGCCTCTGTTTACTGTTTATTTCATTAGCATGGAATTACCTATGCATTTCACTTATTTACATATCTTTTTGCTATAAGTGCATGCTTAAGACCCTGATGCCTCTTCTTCAGTCACTTGGGCAGACTTCAACCAAAGCCTAGAAGCTTCTGGAGGCTTCTTTACCAATCACCATTCACCTTTTCGTATATGTTTATCTTGGATTCTATTACCAGTTACGTGTTGTCTTTCACATTCCAGTCTGTTTTACAGTACCAGGTTGTACCATCTCCACACTCCTAAGACTTCACCTCATTTACAGCATGCAGACTTACACAGACTCACTTGCTGCTTTTTTCAGAAAATGGTTGACACAGTTACGATGGCTACTTAGCATAAGCATTCATAAGCAAAATCTGCTTTATCTCCTAATGATACATAATGATCTATATATCTTACAACATTACTATATTGTTAAGAAAATGCTTGCCTAAGTGGCTTGCAATGTTACTTTTAACACACCATTCTGCCTTGTGGTTAGCAGCTCTGGTAGGCCACAGATTATAGCCTTTTATTCAGCTGCAAATCCAATGCTCCCCAAGATCCAAATACTGCCACCCTAACACTAACTAGTGCTCCTAAACTATTCCCTATACTGACTGCTGTTTTAGATCATTGCTAGCATGCCATACAGCAATTTCAAATGGAATAAGCTGGAGCAGAGTGGCAATGAACATTATGTAGTCAACCCACTCTGCATTGGCTGAAGGTGAAAAGGCTGGGACTGATGTAGGTGTGAGATCTCCTGCAATCATCCTCCCACATGTTATCCTATTGACAAACATATGGCATGCTTTTGTTCAAGGCCACAGAGGCAGACCACAGTATGAACAAACATCACTTTCTAAAATAAGTGCACTGAGTATTTGGAGAATAAGTTGCTAGTCTAATCATTTTTCATCCCTTTTCCTTCTCTCAACATGGCAGGCTATCTCAGAAACATGGTCCAGATATTGCTGATGACAGCAATGACAACATCACCATCTTCACGCGCATTCTGGACAGGCTGTTGGATGGGTATGACAACAGACTGAGACCTGGGCTTGGAGGTCAGTTTAACTGTGGGGACTTAATTTTTTTTCAATGAATGGATTGAGGAATAAGTGGCTAAGACTGCTTATTTCCAGTCATAACCAACCTGGCCATCTTGGGAAGACCTGTTCAAGGAACAAAGGAATAATTCATTTTTTCAAAGTTCCAGAAATGTGAAGTCTTATAAAATGCCTTTAGCATAAGTATGGCATAATATAACAAGGCAGGGTCATGAGTGAGATAAGGGATATAGCCAGTGAAGAGGACTGCACTGGTAAGATGACAGTGTTATTTCATAAGGCAAGGATACCTGGACAATTTTTAAGGGGAAAGGAAGATCAGAAGAATATAATTCTTGCCAAGAAGATGGCTCCTCTGAACTAAGGGTCTCTACTGCAATTCAAAGCAATAGGTTTCAACTGAAGTGCCCCAGAAATGCAGACAAGGTTCTTTGGGTGAATCTGATATCCTTTATTAAACCAACTTAAATAGTTGGAAAACAATTATTAAGCAAGCTTTCGGGTTAAAAAATCCTTTGTCAGGCTAAGGAAGTTTCAGCAGTTGGTGTGTGCTCTTCCTGGATGGAATGCAAAGAGGAAGAGTACACACCAACTGCTGTAACTTCCTTAGCCTGACGAAGGGTTTTTGAACCCGAAAGCTTGCTTAATAATTGTTTTCCAGCTATTTAAGTTGGTCTAATAAAGGATATCAGATTCACCCAAAGAACCTTGTCTGCCTATGTCCTTAGACCAACACGGCTACAATCTACACCCCAGAAATGCAGAGAATAGACAAGTACATCCTTATATTACAGCCAGCTTTCCCCATAATATTCAGTACAGGAAGGAGGAGGTGGGAGTGGGGCAGTGATAAATTAGCCTACAACCAGAAGGCTTGTACCAGGCTCTCACAGGATTTCAGTGGCCGCAATTTCATTCCATAGACTACTGCTTTGGTATTGTTTCTTACAACACCCACTGGGTGCATCTACACAAGATGCTATGTTATTGTAACGATAAGTTATGGTGATGTACTTCGTTGCTATGGTGATGTAGGATTGGCTAAATGTAACACTGCTGTTACATCACTGTAGTGATAAGCTATGTCACCATAGCTTGTCGCTACGGTGACATAGGGTCAGAAACAACCTGTGCACTGCTGGTACTGCACAGTACCAGTGGGTACTGCACAGTCATTTAGTATCTGCTAAAGCAAATGCTAAATGACCATTGGTGACATGTAGGGTTTGCATGCGGGTGCATGTGCACCCCATGAGCATGGTGGTGCACCCCCTACAAAAAGGTGCCAACACTGCCTCACCTGCAGGGAGTCACCACTCGCCACCCCCCGCCCCTCCCTCTGGCTGCCACTGCCACTACTGGCAGTATCTGCGAGTGGTCGGCGATCACCAGTCGATGCTCACCACCCCTTTCCCCCACTGCCTACAGCGCCACAGCTGCCTGCAGGAGCTCCACGCTTATCATCTCCATGCTCCCACTGCAGCCAGTACCACTGCTGCCTGCTGGACCTCGCTGTGCCCCCCCAGCCATCGGGGCACATGGGGCTCATGTAAATAACTGTGCAATACCAATTGCACAGTCAAGGCCACAAGTAGACGGGCCCACTGAGTCTGAGTTCTGCTGAGTAATTTTGTGCAACTCTCAAGCTATCCATTTCTCCTCCAGTTTGCCCTACTGAAGGATGCTGGGAGTAAGTTAAATCATTGAATTACCCTGCATTCCTTATGGGAACTTGTCCTCGTAAAACCTGGCACTGGGCCACCTGTGATCTTCCCTAATATCCATTGCTATTACTTCATTCATTACAGCCACTTCTTCTGGGAGTAGCTTTGTATCAAACAATGCTGAGTCTCTTCTCCACTCTGCTTTAATCTCTTTGGCCTCCTACTTGGGAACATCAAATTCCCCTTTTCCAATACTGAACCCTAAAATGTCAGCCCCAACTTGCCTCTCCCACCCATGTGCTGCTATTGCATACCTATACCCCTCCAAAAGTGCCTCGGCCCCAAGCAGAGATTATCCAAGTGCTTTCTGATCAGCTTTTCTACCTTTAAAAACCTGCCTTATATCCTAGCTCATGTACTGAAGAGCTCATGTACTCCCCTGGAATTAACCACAGTCCTACTAAAAGCTTTGCTTCCTTGGATCTCTTTGACAGTGTATCAATTCAAATGAAATGCATCTAAAAGGGGACTTAGGGGACATCTACAGCTCACTCTGGACTCAATAATGAACAAATCCCTAGTGCAAACTATTAACAAGAGGACTCCCATGGGTCTCAGAGCCTGAGAAGTTAAAATCTTTCTAAACATATCTTTGGTATATTGTTTTAGCTCCTTCAACAAAGTGGTTAATGTAATGAATTGCCCTTTCCTGAGCCAGACCCAGCATGTACAATCAAACCCACCCTCACCTCTGCATTCCCCTCACACAGGATTCTGTAATACCTGCGCCTGACAGGAGGTTCTGAGAGAAGTTAAAAGAAAGCTCTTGGCAGCCTAAAGCATGTGCATCTGAATGATGTACCCTCACCACACTCAGCTGAGTTGGTTCAAGTCTTCTGCCCAGATTTGGGCTCCTACTTGTTGCTGCCACTTCAGTGCAGGTCTGTCAGGGCTGCCTGGATGGAGTGCTGAGCAGAAGACCTTTTAGTCAGGATCCTGGAGCTTGATAAATGAAAGCTAATGATGTAATGGCACACTCTGTAAGAGCAGGGGGAGACATAGGTATTTTGGGATGACAGTCTACAAAAATGAATATAAAGACCAAGATTGTATGGGACCTATAAGAAAGAGCCAATTTGCTCTTAAATCAGTTACTGCTATGTTGGTATCAACCCCAATTGCTTCAAAACACCTTGATTTAACTTCAGTAATGTCTGAGTCATCTGTTTGCTGACAGACACATCCTCAGCAGCCAGGATATATAGGTTCAGTTCCCAGCCTTGCAACTGACTCTCAGCTTGGTAACATGAGAGTCTCTCATTGCATCACAGTTTCACATTTTACAAATAGGATAGTGATGCCTGGCCCAGCAGGGTGTTGTGAAACTGTTTGCCAAGCATTCTGAGGGCCTCCAAAGAACAGGGGTGGATTAAGATTGCCCTGGGCAAACAAAATTGGAGGGCCCATCTAGAAGTGCACCAATATATCAGTTACATATCATATCAGCAACGATAAAAGGAAAATTAATGTTATTGGCTTTTTGTGCTCAGTGTAGCCAATAATGTCACCAATGAGTGTTGCACATGCCATTCAGGTTCACTAAGAATTGTTATGAGCTTTGGAACAGCATAGCAGTGGATTAAGATTTATTGTGGCCTTGGGCAAACAAAATTGGAGGGCCCATCTAGAAGTGCACCAATATATCAGTTACATATCATATCAGCAACGATAAAAGGAAAATTAATGTTAACAGCATTTTTTTCCCAGTGTAGCTGATAATGTCACCAATGAGTGTTGCACATGCCACCATGGAGGTGGCCAGGAATGCAGCCAGGCAGCTTGGGGAGCAGGCTCCATACAGTAGGTCTGTTGGGGGTGGGGGGGAGGGGAGGAAAGATTGAGGCCCCGATAGTGAGCGAGGGAGTAGGGCAGGGATGGTGAAAAGGACTCCCAGGTGGGGCACAGGGGGAGCCAAGGGCAGGTGGGGGGGACACTCCCGATGCTGCACGCACCCTGGGGGCATAGAGGGCATGTGCCCCTCGGATTTATGCGTGGGGCCAGGTCAGGCTGCTCCTGCAAGCTGGGGACTGCACCGGCCTCTTCCTGGGGTGGGGGCTGAGAGTGGGCCCAGTGGTGGCTGCCCTGGGAGCGGTGACCACGTGGGGGCCAGGGTGAATGTTGGGGTGGTTGATGCCCTCAGAGCATCAACCCTGCTGAGGCACTCTGCCCTGCTGCCTCAGCACACAGCTACCGGGGAAGGCAGCAGAGCACAGTGCTGTGGCAGGGGCAGTGCTGGGGGGCTGTGGCCATCCCCAACATTACCCACTGATTGCCTGATGGGCCCTGATGGCCCCTGCTTGCTGCCCACCAGCAGGGAGACAAAAATGGTGCCAAAATTAAAACCACGGCTTTCTCTCCCCTGCTGATGAGCGAGTGGCAAGCGGAGCCCTGATCAGCACCGAACCCTGGGCTGGCCCTGCCCCAGGCATTCATCAGCCTATGGGTGCATGGGGTAGCGCACATATGTGCGTTGGGGGGTGGATGTGTGGGGTGGATTGAGCGGTGGATGCAGGTGCTCAGGGGTGGCGGCGCACACGTGTGTGTTGGGGGCAGGCATGGGGTGGCTGCAGCAATGGGTGCTGGTGTGTGGGGGTGGCACACACGTGTGTTGGGGGTGGGGTGGGTTGAGTGGTGGTTGCAGGTACATGCGGGTGGTACACATGTGTTGGGCCATGTGTCCGTGCACAGTGGGGCAGGAGATGCCCAGCCCAGTAGGGAAGTCGCAGCTAGGCAGTTCCTGCCCCACAGCTTGGGGCTCCAGCTACAGCTCCTGGCCCCTTCCTCCAAGGGCTCTACCTGCCCGGCCTGGAGCAATGAGTAGCCCCCTGTGGGTGGCTGGCCCAGTCCAGCTGAGCCCCCAGGGAAGGGGCTGGAGCTGGAGTTCGGGGGGCAACAGCTGGTCCTGGCTGGCACCTGCTGCCTCGTGCTGTCCCAGCGCTAACAACTTCCTGGAAGGGGCAGTGGGGGCAGCAGGATAGGAGTAGCCACTGGGGGCCAGGGGCTGAGGAGCACCAGGCACTGGGGCACAGCCCCATGAGGGGCCTGGCAGGGCTGCCTGGTGGCATGGGTGGGTACAGGGCACAGGATTCCCCATGTGGGGAGCACCACTGGGAGGAGACGGGGGCAGCAGGATCGGGGCTGCCCTGAGCCAGTGGGGCAGTGCCTAGGGCAGCACCTGGGGCAGCTCATCCCTCCTGGGACCTGGCCATGGCTGGAGCCACCCACACTCCATGGGCCCAGGCCCTGCCCAGGCCTCCTTGCCATCCGTTTGCC